GAGGGGAAGAGCCTTGAATAAAGGCTGCCTGGCATCTCCGAGCCTTGGAAAAGGCTGCTGTGGTGTCGTCTTCCCCAGCCTCTTCAGTGAGTTCAGCCGCCTTCTTCTGTCCTCTGTCATTGGTGGGGTCATGTGTGCCCCTTTTATACCCATCCCACTTTGGGACCGCAGGCAAGCGATTGGTCAAATCCGTCTAGACCCCTGCTCTTAGTGGTCCCTTTTTGATCCCTAATTGTAGTGCGGACCTGTTTGCAGACAGCCATGTCGACTCGCCTTCCTTCTGGCATATTCTGCTCGATTGACAGGTACGGGCACTTAGGGCACATGTTAGCCCTCCACCAATGATTTTAAATTGTAGAAGCAGGAGATTTCTGCAGGCTAACTGGGGTCACAGAGAGGACAGGGTGATTGGCACCTTATACCCATTGTTCAATAAAACGCATTTTCCTAACTTTCCCCTAAACTAAACCTTCCATGACAGTGACTTTTTTTTTTGACATCCAAAGCCTACATATTGAGGTGGTACTTTTGGTAGATAAGAATCTACAGCGTGCTGTAATCTACAACATGCCATGTGCAAACATTCAGAGACTTTGAACGATGATTCAGAGAATCTGGCTTTTAAAGAATGTTCTCAATTTTTTATGGAGTAAATTTGGAACTTTTGGGGCTTGCTGAATGTCTTCAGTGTTTTTTGATTGCTGGCCGTAGGTGACTTAGTATTTGGTGTCTCACATAGGTTCTTTCACTTCTATTTTATGTACCTGTATATTTTATATGCATTTCTATTTTATATGCATAAGTATTGAAAGGTAAGTCATATGTATAGTGCTATTAATAAGCATTGAGTTAGCAGCACTCTAGGCATCAGTGTGTATGCAGCAGAAGCAGCAGCCTTTTGATCATATGATCGTGGGATAATTGAAGTTGGAAGGGACCCCGGGAGGTTTCAAAGCTGACCTTGCTGTGAGTAGAAGGTTACTCGTGAGGTCAGACAGGGTTACTTAGTCAGTTGGTCCTTGACTACCTTCAAGGATGGAGACTGTACAGCCTCTCTGGGCAGCTTGTACCAATGCTTGCCTGTCCTCATGGTAAAAAAGTTAGGACTGTGCTGTAGCTTTTGAACTTCTCTTTTGGAATGAGGTTTGAGCCTATCCTGACAGCAGCAACAGTGAGATCAGTTATAGTTGTGTTCTTACTCTGTTCGTTTGGACTGAAATTCAGTTTGGTCTGTCATTGGCTTGCATGCATTTCACACAGCCATTAGCTGTACCCCACCCCCCATAGATTTTCACTGCATGCTACAGTTTATCCTTTTATCTCTTAAACTTGATTCATAATCAAGAGCAGATGTTCACAAATCTGTGTACATTAGAAATAAAAGAGAATGCAGTATATCTGTTTGTGAGAATAGAAGCTAGACTTTGTGCTGGCTCGTGTATGTGTGCAGGAGGAGATACACATTTGACCCCTTCACTCCCATATTCAGCTGTGTCTAATAGAGCCATACTGACGTTTGCAGGTCACTGCTGGGCACTGCATCACAGGGGGGGAACAATTCAGCTGCTCAGAGAACCAGCCCTGAATTAGCGTATGTGAATTTTCCAACAACAAAATCTGCCTAGGGAGGAAGGGAGAAGGGAGAGATTTAAAGGTAAAAGCAGACTGCAGTGCGTCAAACAGTGGTTGAGTTTATCAATGAGTGTTCAAGCATTTACTGTTTCTTGTGTTGTAGAATATTGTAATGTTTCTGGTGAATCTTCATGTTAAGACTCTTTTTTTTTTGTCTCATACGCTTTTGTTTTCTTCTAAAGTAATGTAACTCCTGAATTTTTTTTTAATCCAGGATCTTACCGGAAATGACCTTTTTTTCATCTCTTACAGCTTATTACCAATGTTTCTTGTCATTAAATTTATCTCAGTCTGTTCACAAATGGAACTGTCCAGGTTGTGCCAGACAGCATAGCAATACAGGATTTTAAACAAGTCTTTTCCTTTTAATCAGCAGCTATTCTTTGTGGAGCTCTAACGTTTATAAAATTTAACGTAAAATAGCATTCTGCAGCATTCTAGCTAACAATAATAACTAGTACAATTGATAATCCCATTTTGAAGGAACTACACATATAAATGTTTATCACTTTAATATGACTTTGGATTAGTAAGAACAAAATATTTATATGTGGTTTTTTTATATTCCTGTAACAGAAGCAACAGACCAGATAACTTTCAATAGGGAAACTTTTTCTAGGAAAAGCAAGTCATTGAATAAAATATAGTTCTTTTAACTATGGATTTCAGATGATTGCACCATGTGAATACAGCATAGTACAGCTAGGGTAATGACATCCTTTTGAGACAGTGAAAAGTATTAGCCAATAAGTCTGAGATCTTTAGAGGTTGGAGCAATTCTAAGAAAATGTAACTGACAAAAAGGTGTTTCTCAGCAGTTTTGGTTGGCATTGTTGGGGAGCAGCAGGGACCAGCTGCTCTGTAAGGGAAGGCAAGTCAGGGACTGAGGGTGGCAACAAGGCAGGCTGGGGGAGTGACCTCCGTGACAAGGTTGCAGCCCTGCAGTACCTGGGCAAGGTGAGCAGAGCAAGTTTGGTGACACTGGGTTCAGCCAACAGCCTGGTAATCTCCCTAGTGATAAAGCATATCTGAAGTTAAGCCAGGAAGACAAATCAGTGGGTCACGGTTAGGTCTGGAAACACTAACTAGGGTCAGTTGACAGTCTAATGGTTGCATCTTATAGAATTTCTTGGCAGTATGTCTGAGGTCAAGTCTGTGGGTCAGGGTCTGCATCAGTGAGGGCACAGGCACAAGCAGTGCCATGGCCGGGCACAGGCTTAGATGCAGAGTGGTTCAGGCAGAGACTGAGGTTGAGTGCCTTAAATGCAGCCCCTACATTACACAGCTTTTCTGCGTGGCTCTGATTCAAGGCTGTGTGGTTGCGCTGTATCAAAGGCAGCCTTGAGCACAAGCTGCCAAACTCTTTGGAGGGGGTACAGTGCGCACACTCGGGGACCTGGCAAGGACAGTGATTTCAAAAGAGATTGTTCATGTGTGCTTTAAACAGCAGTAAGAGTGGAATCCTTCTCATGCATCTTTACCATTGCCTTAAAGACTGGATGCGCCTTTTAGGTCTGATGCAATTAGAAGTCAACTTGATAAAGTGTGTCTTTTTTTCCCCAAAGCTAGTGCTGCTGCTCACCAGTATTCCAGGGGTGCGCTGTGAATGAACATATGTTCCTTAACAAGGTGACATTTTTCACCTAATATATTGAGTACTGGTTTTAGGGTTTGTTTTTTTTTTTTTAAGGTTAGAAGTTTCAGTATTGAAATACAGGCAAAACTTCTGGGTTTGTATTAGGTTTTATTTAAATGCTTAGTTGTAATTTCAAACTCAAAAAAACCATATTCAACCTATGTTAAGGCTCAAAGATGCAGTATACTCACTCACATGTAAGTAGTGTCTGTTTGTTACCAAAGTAAATCTACTTGTGATATGTAGAGCTCTCTGGCTAAGTAGCTTGGAAATAGTTCACTGCAGTGCTAAGCCAGCTGTTGACAGTAATAACTGCTTTTGCAGATGCAAGACAATGTTTTATTCATTGGTATTCAACTAACAGTCAACACTGACAAACCAATTGCGGGGAACTGAAAAAAAGTAGCAAAGTTTAAACTATTCACAAGTTGTAATAAGATTAAGTAGGTGCTAGGGCTTTGTATTTACCAGTCTTAAAATTTGAACATGGTAAACAGAAACAGTTCCCTTAGAGGAGAATTAAACCAGTATTTCCCTTTGTTTACCTTAAAGTAGCTATTAAACCTATCTATATGATTCCTTACTTTCTGGAATAATCTTATTCTGCTCTTCAGTGAACTGCAAAACGTTCAGGCTGTGGAACACAGCTTAGTGCAAATGGTTTTGAAGATATATATTACATAGCACATTTTAGTAGTTTTTAGTACTCCGTCATACCTAGCAAAGTTTGTTCCCTTCCTTTCTTTCTGATTTCTTTCCCACTCTTCTTTTCCCTCCCTTTCCCCTCGTCCCCCCCACCTTTCTCCCCACCTCTTTTTCATGGCCTCGAGTTACATTTAAGTTTAGTGCTTCATTGTCCTATTTTTAGTAGCAGTTTCTTTTTCTTTTCAGCTAGTACTCTTTTCCTAATATTTTAGAGCTTCATATTTCTTTTAGTCTTTCAACTTTTTGTTAATTTTTCTGATACTTAATAGCTAAAACCAGCTTGCTTTACTTTTCCTACTTGTTATACATACAGAAACTAGCTTCAGACTAACTTCTTGAGTTTTTTTTTTTTCCTACATAAGTGATAGTTATTTGCTGTATGCTTTAGGGTTGTGAGTTTCTTGGTGTTGAAACAAAGAGAAGCTATCAATATTCGCACTATTGTGTGATCAGTTTTGTGAGATTAGACAATTGTAGTCCATTGTATTCATATCAGTGTGTATCTCTGCATACTTCTATTAAAAAATCTCCCGGCAGTGGTGTTGAGAAATTTTGAGTAACTTGATGTTTTTCCTGCTCTCTTAAATGCTTGTAGCAAGTATCTTTGAAACATCTTAGTATCAACCTTACCGATCTACTGATCCACATTGGAAAAAATAGCTAAAAAAAGATTTTTTTTTTCCCCATGTAAAGTAATTCAAATATGAAATAAAGTTACAAACTACACTGACAGCTTTTTTTCCTCTGAAAGAAGTTTGAGTAAAAATGTTCTCCCCTCTGAATCCCTTTGGTATTTGGATGAAAACAAATTTATTGCTTGAAGGCTCAGCTTATACCTGCCTTGTATTAAAAGACTTTTGACAAATGATACAATCAGAAGAAAGTCTACAAATGTGTACCTCATAGCTGTCCTTTTAATTCCTGGTGAAAGATATTCCTAACCATACACTAAAATATTTTTCAGGGTACAGAGATTGGATTTTCCAAATAATTTAAGATGTTTCTCTTGTATTTGAAGGTTAAACTTTCTAACCTGAATTTGGATGACCATGCAAAGAAGAAGCTCATTAAACTTGTAGGAGAGCGATACTGCAAGGATACAGATATACTCACAATTACCACAGACAGGTATGGTTACAGGTGGACAAAAATGCCTGAAGCAATGGTCAAAGTAGAAAGGGTAATTTTTTTTTCTGCTAATATGATGTTATTGTGTTAGTAAAGTAGTGTTATTTTGTGGGCTAACATCTGACTTAAGATAAACCTATCAATACTCCTGTGTAAGTTTTACAGTTTTATGGACAAATCGCATAGAGGTTCAAACATAATAATTGCCAGATATTGGAGCTCTGTTTTTAGAAGTCTTAGTCATTATTTTAAAGTATTTATCGTGTTTGACAAATGGATTCTATTAGTTTTAACAATGATCTGAAGAGTTCCAGGCAAGGAAAAATAAGACATTAGTGACCAGACATTTCTTAATGCTTTTATGTTCTGGATTTAAAGGAAGCACTGTGGTTATTTACAGTTATGTTCATCTGGCTGCATAGGAGAAGCATGTTTTTTCTGTGTTAGATTCTGAAGAGTTTAGGAGAATAGTTCAATACACATATTAATTTCTAAATCCATAATACATAATTCACAGCTAAATTCAGTTTTAGGAAAAACATAGTTGGTAGTCTTTTCTGTCTGCTGTGTTTTTTTTGTGTTAGAATTCATTTTCCCTATCCTTCATTCCTATCCTTTGGTAGGAGATGTGGTAAGTAAAATAAATACACAATTTTATTCTTTTTGTATCTCTTTAGCCACCAGACTTGGAAATGTGGCTAGTTCTCTGGGACCACTTTTGCTACTAGCAGTTTCAATTGAAAGGTTTTATTTCTCTACCAAAACTTACTTTTGTAGCTGAAACATTAGGATAACTGAAAGGAACTTACTCTCTAGTGCATCTGTCTATGGTCTCATGTTGCATTCTGGAAGAAATTCATAATGTGCTAATCAATATTTTTTGCCTTATTTTTAGTAAATTCTGAAGACACAAGCTCTATGCAGTATCTCTTTCTTTAATATGGGGTCCTCCAGACTGTTATGTAATAACTGGTATATTGAGATTCTTTTACTTTGAAAGACGTATGAGGAAACAGTTTTTTAAAGTTCACCTGCTAGATCTGTCATAGTCCTTAGCAATTCAGATAAATGCTTTTGGAGTATCTCATATGTAGTCTGGCATGATGTAATTTGTTCGCTAGTAATTTCTAACTTACATTAAGGAACAAAAAATATGTATATTGGCAGCTTATTAGGTAGATTTCCCATGGCACGTTTTATAACAGACAATCAGTATTACAGACTTCAGAAAATAACTTTTGGAAATTCACGTTATAATTGGTCACTGTTAACTGAAAAAAGTAACAGGTAACTCATCTATCTGGAAATGGTGCCTTTTAAAATTGAAAAATAACAGCTTCATTTTGGCAGCCTAAAATTTCAGAACTGGTTTAATACCTTTTTCAAGTGACAGGTCATCTTATGTGAATGCAGAAGACAAACTTTGTGGCCACAGGAGAGTATACAGTACAAGTGTTCATTTCTGCTTAGGCTATGAGAAGCTTAGTAACGTTTCTTAATATACGGACTTCTTTTAAGATTCTTGAATTTTTTCTTTATCAGTCTGGGATGAAATGTGAAGCAGTCATGTTCAGTGTTAGTTAGGGCTACCTCCGCTTATTTGACCTGGAAAACTGTTTGAACGCATTTCTTGATACCTTAGTCTGAGTATAAATCCAGACAAGCTTGATAATATTTTCATCTGCCTTTTGTGAGCATTTAGTTGGTGTTTTTCATACATTGTGAAAACCCTTATTCTTTCATGTTTCCAATTGATCATTTGAACAATTTTAAAAGTTTGATTTCTAGATTATTTTATGTAACTTACATTCTCCAAAAATATAATTCCATACTCAGTCTAATCTATTGTAAATCAGTACCACTGCTGAAAGGAGTTGTCCATCAGATTTGAAAGAAGGGAGTCCAGACTAAACCATATTGGATTCCATTCTGGCTGTCTTTGGCATAGGGTGCAAAGAACCTTTTAGTGGTTCCTAAAGATCTATAGATTCTTTATTTTTGTATGTTTCCCTACTGACTTACCAATTCTCATTGTTTTATGTTCTTAATATCATTGTAAAAGCATCAGTATTATTCTTGATTGTGTAGTCCAGAAACGTGTGTGTGAATCGAAGCAAGATCCTGAGGATACAGATTAGAAATTTTTTATGATTGGTTTAGTATTTTATTAAAAAGTGGATGACCGTGACTTGATTTCAGAAAGACTAGCTTTGTTTTTGAATTTTTAGGTGTCCGTTAAGAAGACAGAACTATGATTATGCAATACACCTCCTCACAGTTTTGTACCATGAATCTTGGGTAAGCAATTATGTATATCTATATGTATGTATATATATAGAGAGAGAGAGAGAGGGAGATGTCCATCTATGTAAACTAAATGTCACTTGTAACTTATGAAAGGTTTGATGACTATATCCGGTTAAATTATCTTAGATTCTGTTCCCCTCACCCTCCCAAATTTTCTTCAGATTCAACAAAGGTAAGTTGCTTATATTTAAATCTTGCTTCCACAGTGAACTTACAGTTCCTTTCTTTAGCTTTCCAGGAGCTGTTCTCTTGTTTGTATATGTAATACACATGTAATGTACTGCATCAGAAGGTTAGGAATTTTTAGAAGTATACTTCTCTTTACAGACATTAATTTTGTTTATCTGAATTGGTGAAGTAGAGAAAGAAGAAACAAAGTGACACTTCAGGATCAAGATCTAACAAACTTATTTATCACTTAAAATGATTCAAAGTAAATTTCATGAGTTTTCATCCTTGTCATAGTGCTGTTTATTCGCTGGAGAAGTCTCACTAGAAAAAGAGCTTTAGATTTATATGACTACTGAAAAAAGTATGTAAGTGAAACTGAAAAACAAAGCTGGGTAGAGAAGGATGGCAATTATAAGGACTCATAAACACTTTTGTACTGTTTTTATTAGACTGAGGGGAAAAAAAACTTGAAATAGAAGCATTTAAGGAAGTATCTTGAATGATATGGGAATTACTGGATATGGTCTAGTGATGAAAGTAGAAAGACGTTATGGTTGAGGAGGAAAACAAAGCAGAAGCACCCCAAAAAAATACAGTATCTCACCTTTTGTCTGCAAATTAAAATCATGATGGCCTAGAAAAGGTTGACTTCCAGGAAGCAAAACAGGGTGGAGTTGTCCTGTCAGGTTTTTTTTTTTTTTTTTTTTTTTTTTAGTATCTGATACAAGCAGTGAAGTAATACATTGAGGACACCTAATGTTGCGACCTATCTCTTATAGTTTGCTTCTTTTTCAGAAGTTCTCTAGTTTATGCCCTAGATTCTAGGTTCTTCCCCAATAGTCAGCTTCTGACAACAGTAAGCTCCAAACTGACCTTGAGCCTAGCAGAAAACGCCTTGATTCTTAGCGTTCCTAAACGTGCCTTTAGTGTGGCAGCGTATTGGGCTGCCTATGCACAGTATTCAAATATGAATTAAGTGGTTCTGGAGAAATGATCTACTCTGATTGTCACCTCCTGTCTCTACGTTTTTAACAATGACCAGCTTTAAAGATGAGAACAGGTCTATTCCAATGAAGCAAAGAGACATGTTATTAGCTTGAGAATTATGAACACTAAAATGCATCACAGTTTCTGGTTTTTTGTCTGTTTCCAAAAGTATTTCTACCTGTTACCTACAGTCTGAGCCATTTCTTCAGTTGTGGAAATTATGGCTATAATTTGGGAGTATTTAAATGCACTCTGGCAAAGCTGACCTCAAGTTGGAATGAACAAGGATTTAGGCTGCTTTTCTGAGCTCCCTTTTGCTCACAAGATCTTATTCCAATAACTGGTATTTTATTACAATTCTTAAGTAATCTACTCAAAATTATAAGACGTTTTCAAACATAATTCACTCTTCTACCGTGAATCCTTCAGACTTGTCTGTTTTGAGTTTGTGCTTAGTCATGATAAAGGGTTGTAGATAATAGTTTAACTGTTAACAACCAACTTAACAGAACCAAGTTAGAAGTCCAAAATGAAATTATTGTTGAAAACCCGTATTTGTGTTGTGGACAGCTTAGCTTTTTTTCAAGGTAGTATGTTGTTAGTCATCTTGAATATGAAGGCTTTCGCTGTCCATCTCTCAAAGTATTTTCACAGAAGCATTTCTAAATGATGTAGTAGCTCATTAGCTACCAAATTCACACTTACTACTTTCAGTTGTTCTTTGCTATTTAGATAAAGTCTCTGTATTTAGCATTTTAAGGAATTTTAGTGTTCTTGATTTCGGTCACTGTGGTGATCACCTAAAATGTAATAAGGAGATTGAGTTGTATCTCCCTTTGACTAGAAGTTGACTTGAAGGATATGTGCTTTGTAATTGTAGAGTGCATCCAATTAAACTCACCTTATAAATTTATCTTAAGATGTTTATACTTTAGATTTAAGGTGCTTTGTACACATGGATATTTTTCTCCTGAACAGCATTACATTGCATTACAAATCCGAACTTAGTGACAGATCAGTTTCCAGTATTAAGCAATGACAAGAGAGCTAGACACTGTTTGCTTTATTAATTCCAGGCAGACACTACATCTGTTCTTTGCTCTAGCATTACTTAGTGATGGAAGACAGGGCTATATGATATTGCTTCATGAGTGTTCAGTGTGTATTGAATACGCACAAGTCCCTGGCCCTTTTATTAACCTTTCAGCTTCCATGTTAATATTTTATGAGTTCATCAATCAGTTGTAATTGTCTTTGATTTCCATGAAAATTTGATGATCTGGTGTGACTTTTTTTCCCCTCTCCATGATCAGTGGTAATCCCTTTTAATAATCCCTTTTAATAGACTTGCTGAAAGGTAGTTTGGATACGTTTTGTAAACCATAAGCAAACAATCTGCATTCTATTTTAATCTGTGTGAACTTTAAACACTGGGGTAGTGGTGGGGATTAGCCCTCCATGTAGACAGTAACATTAAACCTCTTTACAGGACTAATTTGATTTGGTGACTTAGAGTAGTGCCACATGGCATTTGCTTGAGTGGGGAACTCAGTAAAAAGATGAAGGCAGACATTTCACTCTTATAAGTGAAGGCAAAGCTGGCTACATATAGATTTTTGCCCTAACTCCTGAAAACTTTACATGCTGTCATTTTAAAACATGGTATAACTCCCTAATTTATGTAAGCAACTGAATTACTAGATTTTGTGAATGAATAAGCATGTGAATTCATAAAAGGAAAAATTGTCTGCTGATATATCTTAGGAAGTATAATTTCAAGTGTAATTATACTTTAATTGCAAGTGAGGCATAATACTTTTATTACAATTTTGAAATAGAACATCAAAGTAATTAGGAATCTGAAACTTTTAAGGGGATGATTGTTGATGGTGGTTTTGTTGGTGATGTAGTGAAGTACATGCTGGACAGCTGTAATATGTAGAGGGGTGCATTTCTAACAACAATTTATTCTTAAGTAGTGAGTATGACAAGTTTAATTCTGGCTTGTCTGTCTTTTGAATGCATGCTTAGAAGACAAACTTAACAGTTTGTCTCAGTGGTAGTCTCTCTAGTACAAATTTTCTTGTTTTCTTTTTCAATCTTGGCTTCAAACCAAAACCCAGGGCATCCACAACTCAGCAGTACTGTTATTGCATCTCTAGATGGCTCAGAATTAGTTTTGCTGGCAGTGTACAAATAGCAAGAATCCCTCTTGTAGTGGGGTTACAAAAATATGCAACCAAGTGCATGACAGAAAAAATAGGAAAAACGAAAGATTCTCAGTAACTGGTATAGATACTGCTCAGCCTCAAGGCTCTGAATGTAGTTAGGAATAGAGTTCTTTCTTGGATTGGGATGTTGGGAAGAGAACTTGTTTACGTTTAAATAAATGAATAAAAGGTTACCCAATCAAATTTGGCTGACTGATTTCTGAGAGGTACCACAGCAGAAGCGAGGGGACAGGATGATAGCTTAATGCACTAAGACTAGCATTTTTATTTCTGGTAGCCTGCTAGCAATCAACGGATGAAAGAAGATAGGCTAGCCAAGTTGTAAAAGGTTTTGAAGAACTGCAAGGGGATTGATCCTGGTGTTGTGAAACTTGCAGAGAAATTCAGGAGTATTGTGTGGTTAGATGTGTAAGAGAGGTCCCTTTTTTGAGTGTATGGGGAAATAAGAGAAAGAGAAGGAACCAAAAGGAAGAAGCAACTTGAAATTTTTTGTGCAAGGAGTAAATGAATGTCTTATTTTGCGTGTATGAGTGTTAGAAGAAGCAGCAGAATTTGGATGCTGGGGGAGGAAAGGAGAAGGGGAAGAGGATGGTCAGACTGCTGATGCATAGTCAGAATGAAGTGTTAAGGTGAAAACGCTGACAAAGGTGCCAGGAGTGAAAGGTACATTCATGAGTTGGGAATAAAGAGGGTAGCTGAAGCTTTTTCAGTCACCTGTAGAAGTGGGTTGCTACTCTATAGACTTGCAGTCCCTACAGATGAGTAGTTAAAAGTAGAATTGCATTTTAAACTGTCCTCTCTCTGTCTTCTCATTTTCACACATAAATGCCAGCAATGGACTTGACCATGCAAAATCCTGTGAAACTGGATTCAAACTGGAATACCATGTGGTTTTTTCAAAGGGTTGAGTAGTGCTTTTCTTTTATCATGGTCCTTGTTGTTTTCTGGGAGGTGGGATTGCTTGTTTGTTTGTTTTAATTGGGGGAAGTGAAGGAAGGAAGAACTGTCCTCTGGTTCTTGATCCGTCCTCTGATGGATCCACCTTTGACTCCTTGCAAATTATTCCCAAGGACTGTGCCATGAGTGGATTCACCAAATGAAAGGGAGAGATGTATTATGTAGATTAAGTAGCTCAATCAGTTGTGTTTCTGCTGCTTACATGGTGGTACTGCATGAATGCTGTTACAGCTGCTGTAAAAAAATGATGTGTTTTTACAGTATTATGTTGTTTTTTTCTTTTTTTTTAAAGCGTAATAGTTTGCTGCCCTCAAGTGGTTGGAAACAGCATAAGCCGATCTCTTCTCCCTCAGCTAGTGTCACTAAAGTTCTGTTTTGAGTGGAAAGCAGGAAGAGAACTAAGTAAAATTAAGTTATCAACAAGGAAAGACATTGATAGTGATTACAAAGGTGAGGGATCTGGAAAAGATGGAGAGTGAAAAGGAAATAACTGGCAGTTGTTTTAAACCAGTCAATACTACAAAAGCACAGTAATTTTCTGAGGTTCCTTAGCACCTGATTTTCAACATATACAAATGCTAGATGATGCAGAGTAAAGGAAATCATTCCATGTTACACAGCTGATATCTTGAAAGATAGTTAATG